GGCAGGACGATCGCAGTGCCGGGCACAGGAAGAGTTGCTTAGATGGTTCAAAGAACAAACTGATACCGAAGACTCATACCCAAACCGATTGGCGAATCGACAGCTTTAGTGGCACTGGCGTAAGAATCACATATAAACCAAACTTTCGATTGCGGAAGTTATTTGAAAAGCCAGGGACACTCAAACTGTCAGCGGCGACGTTTTTAAATTTAAAAGTTTGAACATACAGTGGGGTTCAAACTTTTAGCAGTTGTTTACAGGCTAACCTAATATTTGCGGCTTGCGTTTTGGTACGCATGCCGTCGAATTTGTTTTTTTTGCGTCACCCGAAATTGACTTGCATGCGTTTGCATTTGATTTCATTGAGCGAAACGTCAAATCAAAATGTCACGCAGAACAAAAATTGGAAATTGAGTTAGCTTCATACGCACGCCGTTCAATTTCGGTTGATCTCATACAAGTTGCATGTGCATGAGAAATTTTTAACAATAAATTGGCGGCGTGCGTGAATATTAGGTTAGCCTGTTAGTTGTTTAGTTGTTAGTAGTGTGACCAGATGAATACTTAAAAAGATTGGAAAGAAATTTAGCAGCACCCCTACAAATTTTAGTGAACGGTACTCATTAAATAAATTTTAAAATTGGTAACTAGACATGCTCTCTCTTCGAATAACAGTGGTACTGGTAGGTCTTCTAGTATAGCAGGTAAGGTAAAAAATACCTGCCTAAAAGTGTTGATTAATAAGAGCTTCTCATTTTGTCGCAATAGCTTTGTGGCTGACTGTTTTTCTAGGACGTAACATAGTTTCATATAAATGAATTTACCATTGTAATTCAACTAATCTCGAATTGCCGAAAAGTAGTTTCATTTAGTCGAAAATGTGGATAGTTCACCGCAAAATTTTTAGACATTTCTATAATAAGGGGTGCCGTTTGTCCGTTTTATACCCGAGCGCACTTGTGCACTAGTGTATTATAATTTTGTTTACATAACGGTTGTTTGTAACAGGCGAAACTAATAGAGATAGATATTGAAAAATGTATACATAAATGATCAGAATAAAAAAAGGAATCGATTAAGCGGTAACTGTCTGTCCGTCCGGCTTTACACACGATAACTCGAGTAAAAATTTAGATATCTTAACGAAACTTGGTACGTGTACGTCTTTCGGGCGTAGGACAGAAGGTATTGAAAATGGGCAAAATCAGACAATAACCACGCCTACCTCCCATACAACGGTAGTTTTCAGAAATACAAAAACTGCGATATTTTAGTAACTACTGAAGAGTATTTACTTAAAATTTACATTTACAATACCTTTTAGACGAAAATTAGGCCAATTAAAAATTTTTGAAAAATGGGCATAGCCACGCTCACTTATGGTTACATGTGTATATCTTGGTAATCACTCAACCAATTTCTCCCAAACTTGGTGCAGTTGTTGCCTTGGTACAACATACCAAATGGCTGAAAATTTTTTAAATCGAACAATAACCACGCGAAATAACAATACGAAATCTTCGTTAAATCAGTAAATATTAAAGTTAATAGGTGCAATCCCGTATTCCTCGGACTCGGACTAGTAAAACTGTCAAAAAATAAAAATTCGCTCAGAGCGAGAGAGTAACACTGAAAAGTACGGGATCGCTTTCTAGTACAAAATTGTAACTTCTGTCAACTTCAACATAACTTCCAATTTTGGTTTTAAATGTTTGCTTATTTTGTATGTAAACGAACTCAGCTCACACATGTAAATAGCCAAAAATACTTTCAAATTCATTAGAATCCACTTAAACAAGTAATTAAATACTTTTCAACATGAATTAGAAGAGTGCACTTTTCTTTTGTTTACAATTTGGTTGCCAAACACACTACAGCTGATCGTTTGACACATTTACCAGAATTTACCAGCAAAAAATTCTCGGACTAAAACTGGTAACTTCTGACAGAGAGAGAACCGTATTTACTCTCTTTTTTGTCCTCTCAATAGTCAGAGAACCGAGTACGGGATCGATTTCCAGTAAAATCTGACTGATTCTGACTATTTCTGACTAGTCCGGACTCGTACGGGATCGCAACTAATATATTCAAAATTGAAACTTGCAACAGTTCTTTACCAAGAAATACGTTTATGATAAAATTTTCGAAAATGGGCGTGGCCACGTTCACTTATGATCATATATATGTATCTCGATAACCGTTCTACCAATTTGCACCAAACTCGGAATGGTTATTGTGCAAAACGTTAAAAATTATTGAAATCAGACTAAAACAAGTAAGAAAGTCTAAGTTCGGGCGGAGCCGAACATTAAATACCCGGCGCAAATATTAAATATATGATTTTCACCTTTCCGAAAGCTACCGCTACATGGTAAGCCGGGGTGTATCAATTTTGAGTAAATTAGCGTCCTTAAATTTCAAAATATTGACGTTTCAAGCATTTCTAAAATTTACCGTTATATGAAAAACCATAATTTTAGTCCGATTTCAATAATTTTCATCGCTTTGCTTTTATGTAGCAAGCACAATAAAAATACCGAGTTTGGTACAAATTGGTAGAACGGTTACCGAGATACATATATGTGATCATAAGTGGGCGGTGCCACGCCCATTTTTCAAAATTTTATTATAGACGTATTTCCTGGTAAGGAATTGCTTAAAGCATCAATTTTGAATAAATTGGCTTTAATATTTACTGATTTATCGAAGATTTCGTATTTCTCCAAATTACCGTTATATGAGATGTGGGCGTGGTTATTGTCCGATTTTAAAAATTTTCGGCCATTTGGTATCCTGTACCAAGGCCAATAACTGTGCCAAGTTTGGAAGAAATCGGTGCAGCGGTTGCCAAGATATACACATGTATCCATAAGTGGGCGTGGCTACGCCCATTTTTCAAAAATTTATAACATTCTTATTTTTCGTCTAAAGATTATTGTAAATATCAATTTTGAGTTAATAATCTTCAGGAGTTACTAAAATATCGCAGTTTTCGTATTTCTGAAAATTACCGTTATATGGGAGGTAGGCGTGGTTATTGTCCGATTTCGCCCATTTTCAATACCATCCGTCCTACGCCCGAAAGAAGTACACGTACCAAGTTTCGTTAAGATATCTTAATTTTTACTCGAGTTATCGTGTGCACAGACGGACGGACAGACGGACGGACAGACAGTCACCGCTTAATCGATTTCTCTTTTAATCCTGATCATTTATGTATACATTTGTCTATATCTATCTCGATTCATTTTGTCTGTTACAAACAACCGTTATGTGAACAAAGTTATAATACCCTTGTGCACAAGTGCGCTCGGGTATAATTACGGCCACTTTCATGTAACGGCAAATTTCTGAACTGCTTGAAACATCGATATTTCGATATTTAAGGACGCTAATTTACTCAACATTGATACTAACACATTGATACTGAAATGGGCGTGATTCCGGGTTAAACCACCCCGGCTTACCATGTGGCGATAGTTTTCGGAAAGGAGAAAACATATATTTAATACCTGCGCCGGGTATTTAGTGTTCGGTTCCACCAGAACTTAGGCTTTCTTATTTGTTATAAATGACGTTAGTAGCCGTTTACTCCATGCAGATGATCTTAAGTTATGTATACGCTATAATCTAAGATTCATTTGATGAGGTTAGGCTTCAATGTGATGTTGACGCTCTCCATCTTTGGTGTCGGAAATTCCGTCTATCCTTAAACATAAATAAATGATGCCCAAATCTGCCACTGAAATTTTAACAAAGTGCAAGTTTAAAGTAGCTGGGACTTATGGTTGTTTTTTGGATTTTTTTTTGTTGCAGGTGTTGCTCATTTTCTTCATATCATCGAATATACTTCGTATGCAAGAAAATGACTAGCACCGGACAATGTGATATTTGGTTATTTCCAATCATGCCTCATCGCTCACAGAGGTAAAAAGTGCATGCGAACTAAGCATTTTAAGGTTCCTAAGTAAATTGTATGCGTCAAAATCAGTATTTTTTTTTCTCAGAGTACATACTAAAACGATGAAAATTACGTATAAACAAGTAATTTTTAAGCAAAAAACAAAAAACCAATTTCAATTCTCATATAAAAATTTAGGATTATTGTAAATTTCTTCATGATCCAATGATCGGATTTAAACCAAATTAATATGGGACCACCTGAAATCGGTTAACTTGGTCCAAAGTTATGCGGTAACATACATAAAGTAAAAAATAAAATAAAAATATTCCGACGAAGTGATAACCTTCTCCGTTTTGTGAAGTCGGTTAAAAAAGGTAGCATTAAAAAAGCCACCATGCTAGATCTAAAATTTCGGGGTTTAAGCAATATATAATTGCTAAATATAGCCTCAAAATATCACCTGGTCACACTGGTTGTTTGGGGATCACTAGGCTCTCTAGTGCTATAGCTACTACAGTGCCACCTCAACTTTAAAGCTAACTTTAATTTTGATAGCAAAGACTCAAGCCCCTTTGCGTACATAGATAGATTGTCATTTCTTGCGCCTCAAAGTGGACAACGGTTTTGGTCATTATTGAAACTGAGCTTCCTTGTCTAGTTAGAAAATATGTACACACATCCAGACATACATGTTTGCATAAAAAATTTACGCGGCAGTGCAAGGAGTAGCCACGTGCCTGTTAGTTGCAAATACTTGTTACAAAGTTAGATACTACATACATATAACTAATTTTTAGTCGCTATTTTATTCAGTGATAAAAGTGTTAAAGGAAAGTGTGAAATAAGTGAATTATGTAGATCATTGATATTATGCGACTAGGGCGATTTGTAAGGTAAGTGCATCATTAATACATATGTATATGAAAAATTTTGAACTCTCTTTAACCTGAATACGCGAAATAGCATACCGAGGAGTATCAAATTAAAAAAAAAAAACAGTATTTATTTGTTTATGCTATTTATTTTATCACACTAAATCCTACGTTTTGACCCATTATGGGTTATAAATCGTTACAATTTATCGTCGATAAAATGTTTAATCATCATAATGTATGATGTGAACATAATTTGGTTGGTAATAAATTGGCCCAAATGGCCAACGCAGACCTTGGACGAATTTCGCAATATTTGTTGCTGCTGCGAATTCAGCTAAGGCATTTGTTTTCGAATTTAGCCAGGGTGGGAAAGTGGGACTTGGAGCAATAGGCGGTGCTGAATAATGGGCTGGAGGTTGTCCTGATCTCGCCTTTGCAACAGGATAACCAGCGACGTCGGGTGTTGGAGCGCCATATGAATTTGTAACTGATACCGAACTTTGACTTTGATAAGCTGTTTCTGTCGCCGCATAGGAAGCAGGTACAAGTGCTGTTTGTGTTATTTGTGCTGAGTTTATACCATCGTATGAGGATGGCAGAGGCTTTGAGTAACTAGATGGCACCGTTTCCGCATTTTGATTTGAAGAGGAGTAAGATGGAGATGCAACCCCTGAACCAGGTGCTGGTTCCGGTGCATGGTAAAGAGAAGATGATGTAGGAACTGCATATGAAAATGAAGCTGGTGTTGGACCTTGATCGGTAGGATAGGTGGCAGAAGCTGGTGTGCCATAAACTTGATTCCGAGCTGAGTATGACGCAGGCTGTAGTGCTGGAATTGGCTCTGGAGCGGCATAAGAAGCAGAAGCAGAAGGATAACCAGTGGCGGCGGGTGCCGGAGAGCTATTTAATTTTGAACCATAAACATCTGGAGCTGTGTCTGTTGCCGCATACAAACCAGATGCAGCTGCTGGGTCCGCTACTGACGCGGAGGATGGTGCTCCATAAGAGGATAATACCGGATTTATGTAAGGAGAAGGAACCGCTTCAGACGTTTCGTAAGAAGACGCTGCTGATACCACATGGGAATAGGAAGCTGGTGAAGGGCTTTGGTCGGCATGATAAGTGGCAGAAGCTAGTGTGGCATAAACTGGGTCCTGTGCTAAGTATGATGAAGGTCGCCGTTCTAGATTTGACTGTGGAGCGGTGGAAGAAACAGAAGCTCCATAAACTTGGTCCTGCACTGCGTATGTTGAAGGTTGTGGTGCAGGGCTTGGCTCAGGAACAACTTTATCCTGGGCTGTGTATGATGACGGTTGTGGTGCTGGAATTGGCTCTGGAACAGCGTAGGACGATGGTTGTGGTGCTGGGCATGGCTCTGGAGCAGCGTGAGTATCAGAAGCGGCATAAACTTGGTCTTGGTCGGAGTATGACGAAGGTTGCGGTGCTGGATTTGCATCTAGAGAACTGTAAGGTACAGAAGCAGAAGCTGATGTGGCATAAAGTTGGTCCTGGGCTGATGAAGGTTGCGGTGCTGTACTTGGCTCCGGAGCAGGGTAGGAGGAACGTTGTGGGTCTGGAACGGCGTAAGTAGCAGAACCAGGTTCGGCATAAACTTGGCCTTGGTTAGAGTATGGCGAAGTTTGTGGATTTATCTCTGGAGCACTGTAAGGTACAGAAGCAGAAGCTGGTACAGCATAAGGTTGGTCCTGAACTGCGTATGATGAAGGTTGTGGTGCTGCACTTAGCTCTTCAGCAACGTTAGTAGAGCCTGGCGAGGAATAAACTTGGTCTGCATGTGATGAAGATTGGGGTGCTGGGCTTGGCTCTGGATCAGCATAGGACGGTGGTTGTGCTGCTGGATATCGCTCTGGAGTAGCGTAGGTAGCAGGAGCAGGTGCAGCATAAGCTTGGCCTTGATCAGAGTATGACGAAGGTTGTAGTGCTATATTTTTCACTTGACCAATGTTCGTTGCAGAAGTAGAAGTTGATGCGGCATAAGTTTGGTTTTGTGCTGCGTACGATGAAGGCTGTAGTGCCGGACTTGGCTCTTGGGCAGGGTATGACGTAGGTTGCGGTACTGGACTAGGCTCTTGGGCAACGTTAGGCACAGGAGCATGAGCTACGAAAACAAAAACTGGATCCTGGTTTGCATATGTCGGAGGTTTTGGTGCAGGACTTGGATCTGGAACATATTGGGACGAAGATTGTTGTGCTGGACTTGGCTTTGGAGCTCCATAAGTTGCGGAATAAGAGGCTGGAGAGGCATATACTTGATCCTGGACTGTGTATGACGAAGGCTGTGGGGCCGGGCTTGGCTCAGGAATAACGTAAGATACAGGAGCTGGTCCTGGGGCAGCATACACTTGGTCCTGAACTACCGGTGAGTAAGATTTTGATGTAGAATTTTTCTCTGAAGCAGCGTTAGAGTCCATAGCCGGACTTGCAACTGCGCAAGGAACAGAACCAGAAAAGTGGGAGGCATAATCTGGAGCCTCAACTGGGTTTGACGATGGCTGTGATGTCGCACTTGGCTCTGGGTCTACATAAGATACAGACACAGGATCTTCGGCGACATAAAGTTGATTCTGGCCTAAGTAAGACGCTAATATAGATTGTAAGGTTTTTTCTGAAACTATGTAAGTTGGTGAAGAATCACCTGGAGATTGCTCTGTTTTACTATAATCGGCTGCCACAGGAGCGTTCTCTGCATACGGAAGTGATGCTGAGCTTTGGTCTTGCGCTTCGTTTTTTCCAGATGCTGAAGCCTGCGACGAGCAACCTTCATTTTGTTCTGCATTTGACGATGACATTGCTGTGGTCTCTTGCGTTGTTGCATAACTAGGTGCTGGGGCAGCAACGAGCTCAGCGCCTTGATACAATTGAGCTATATCAGTAGAGGTAAGCGCATCTTCGGGAGCACTATCTGTTTCAGAAGTTGGAGCGCTTGCAGAGTAACCGTCATTTTGATCTGCGTATGCATCGTAAGCTGACGCGGATACAAGCTTGGCGGGTTTACTTTGGGCATCAGAAGTGAATGTATATTCCGGACCGCTTTTAGACTTCGGCGCTTGAATTGGCGAGCAGGGCCCTTCGCCAATAACTGTCCAGTCTGTGGAAGAGTATAAAGAAGGAAATGTATTTAAAATGGCCTAAAATAAAGGCGACCGTGAAGGCCGTCAAAGTTCGTATTTACGTTGCTTGGTCTCGCAAATCAGTCGATCCACAAGGCATGCGTTCGGCACAGTCTTCACAGTTGCTTTAGGCACTTGCTGTGCGCAAACTGGCTTAAATAACTTAGGACAGACAATTTCATCGCAATTAGGTAGACAATTTTCAATGTCCGTTTTTATTGGAACTGCAAATGGAAGAAATAAAAGTTTGTATTTGAACTACTGTGAGAAGAAGTTGAGAAAAGCAAAGAAAAGTTCGACTCACCTATTCTCCCAAAGAACAGTTGTTTGTAAATATAAGCGTTGAGTTTGCATTCATTCTGGAAATAAAGATACTTCTGCCCATTCGTTGCACACACCGGTAAACCACTTTCGTTACAAAGTGGTGTGTAGAGTTCAGTTGTTGAGGCCGCAGCAGCTAAGCTTCCTATAAAAAATATGTACCACATTCTTAAGACTATGTTTTGGGTTTTTCAATGAGTGACTGAGATTTTATATTGAATGTTGCCTTTTTATATACATATTCAGCAGGGGCCAGTAGAAATGAAAATTGGTTTTTCTAACCTCACCCACACATTTATCATTTTATGTGCTTCTACTGCATTACACCAATCTAAATATTAGTAATTTGTCCGTCGCCTCGAACTTGGGCAAAGTGCGTGTTTCATTAGAGGGTACGTATTCGGTGCTTAGCATGGAAGCTCACGCTGTTCTGATTTTCTTGAGCTGCACGTACGTGTTTTTTCGCACGCCGGTTAATGACTTTCTCGCTTACTTATTCTGACCTAATTTGCCATGAACGTTGGATTAACCACTGAAACATGCTTAAGCGGCTAGTTGAAGTTGATAAGCGCGCAGCAATGAATGTTTATGATATTTGAATGAAAATTCTACGCAATTGGTCCACTATTATTTAAGATATTTTTTACTTTATTAATGCACGTTTTACTTGTGTGCTTCACTTAATTTATTCATTATGCAATTTTCATCTTTTTCTTTGTTTAACCAACGAAGCCAGCGTTCGTCATCGATGGTAAGCTGTGGGTAGGTGCGGCATATTATTTCAGCTGAGCTATTTAAAATTACTAATGTGGTTGCCAATATATACCAACTGGAATAGTGTGTATTGAAAACATTTAATTTCGGTTTCTATAAAGATAAGCAGCACCGAATGCATTTACCGCTGAACGATTCCTTCAGAACCTTCAGAAATATTCGGTGTTTTTTTCCTATTATTTTTTAATTGTGACTAAACAGAGAATTAGGTTTTGTATGGAAGCCGCCGCCTTTTTTCGGGCTTCAAATCCAATCGTTTTTATGTTGAAGTGCCACAACCAAAACGAAAACCACTCTAAAAAATGGTTCGATTCAGTTAAAAATAAAAATCCACTAAAAAAATGTTTAGTTATTTAAAAGATTAAATCTAAATTTGTTAATAAGTTAAATGTTAAATGAAGTATGGATTGACTACGAATGAGGTTTAGGAAAAATTTATTTTGAGAATATTTTGAAAAGGGTTGCCTGCCACTTATGTAAAAGTCAAATTAAAATTTTTCATAAATAAGGTACTAAATTGAGGATGTCAAGCGAAAGAGTTCTTACACTTCTTTATTTGAAAAATAATTTTAAAGAGGAGATGCCACCTGTTTCAAAGTAATTAAAATTCATCAGTTACTTCAATGATATACATATTACAAACGAAACAGTTCGATAAAAGCTTTATTTCGAAAAATATTTGATTAGCTGTTTACATGCTAAATCAAATTTAATAAAATATTACAATAGAGATGTCAAACGAAAGATAATTTAAAAATCGAATTCAATTTAAGTGAACATTTGCCAAATAGGACATGGGTCATTCCATGTAAAAAGGAAAACGACATAAATGTTAATTATCTCTACTTCAGTGGTAACCTCTTTTTAAATGAACACAATTAAACAATATTAAAAAAGTAAAAAGAATCTGTAATTTTTGTTACTTCATACACAATTACACTGTACCAGTCACAATGCAATGGAACAGTGATGAAATTGATGGTACAATTGTACTTTTTTGGTACATTTTGGAAGCCAAAAGTACATTGGTACTACATTGACATTTTTGATACAATTTGGTCAAAATACGGCACTGCACCACACTTTGCATACTTGGAAATCAGCGTTTTTGTGGATAAAAATACAGTAATCTTTTCTTCTTCTTTTCATAGAAGTAAATACGTGGTGTTTATTAAAAATTAAATTTTTGCTAAAATCAACAAAAATTTGCTGTGATAATAGGCCTATTCATAAACATTTACAGTAAATACTTACAGCGGGAGCGTAAAAGAAACATAGAGAGTGAAATGGAGAGGTAGTGAAAATTATCATAAAGAGTTATTGAACGCAAAACTAGCAAAAACGTGCAACTTACGCCATTTTAACTTTCTGATGCTTAAGGTTTGCCGCGTTATTTTTCTTTTGGTTGGTAATGTTTCCATAGTCATAAAAATCAAAAAATCTATCTTAGATTAAAATTATGCACCCATATTTTAATTTCACTAGTTTTGTTTTGAGCATGTTTTTGGTAAATAATTAATATTCATAATTTATTGGAAGCAAAGTTTCAGAGCACAATCCTTGTGTTGTATTTTCTTTATACAATATAATCCATATTTAACCTTTCATTCTCAGCTCGAAGGTCTATCTTATCAACTTTTTTATCAAATGTTCCTCTAAATACATTGTTTACATTTCGCCCTTTTGCAAATTTTGTGAGTTAATAAATGCATTTCCAGTGAAAACATGCAAGTACTGGTAGCAATTCGTAAATATTTTTTTGATATTGAACGGGTCTGGGAGTGTTTCCGTATTCTCCAGACAAAATTATCTATCAGAAAAAAATTCTGAGCATTCGCTATCAAAGTAACAAAATATACAGAAAATTTGAAATCTTCGAAACAGCTGATCATTTTCGCAGTTTTAATAGGTGGTACAGATATAGCTATGTGCCTTTAAAACTAACCCATTTACTTTTCAACTATCAACTGACAAATTCTGCCACAACTTTTCAACATTTTTATTTATTTTGGAAAATTGAAAAATTGTATACGGCAATCATAGTTGACACGCACTACTTAAAATAAAATAAAACTGGAGATTAATAGTAAATTAACTAAAATAAACTCAATATGTAAACCTTGTGCGTAATAACTTTACCTTTTTTTCATTGTATACAATATTTATATATTCAAAAAGCCCTATTCTCTTTTGGTATTCACGAACATACATATCTGTGTTCGTTTGGAAAAGTAGCTTATGTCGAAAGGCTGGCTTTAGTATAATACGGCATTCCCTTTATTCTTTAAACAACAAGGAATTTTTGAATGAGACTTAACAAGAATATTGACTTGCTAGTATCCGAAGCACGTTTATTTGCCTAAAGTTATTCAACGGCTCAGCGCCGGTGAGTCATTCGCAATCGTATGCTGCGAATGCCGATTTATACTAAAGCCAGCCTCTCGACATAAGCTACTTTTCCATACGAACACATATATGTTTGTGATCAGCTGATTTTCTTACTTGCAAGTTTTCGCAGCTAAGAATTTTTCCAGAAAAAAAATTGCAGAACTCGATGTCATTTTGGGCTCTCAATTTGCCCTATTTTGCAAAGGGTAGGAGAACGCAGAAACTGTGGTAATTTTTTTACAATTTTAGAAAATTTTGAATACGAGAACCTTGTTATTTCTATAAAAGTAAATATTTTGGAAACTTTTATACAGATAATTTTTCAAATTTAAAAACATTTAACTGTGTGTATGCTTTTTCAAATGTTGGTACTTTTTCGGTTTATTTAGTACATTATTTTTGGTCATTTGGTACAAAATTAAAATACTCATTTATCATCCCTGCAATGGACTATACTTATCTGTCCTCTGACAGCAAAAACATTCCACCTTTCCAAATTTCAATAATAAATGTGCATAAGTATGCTATTAAATATGTGTTTATATAGTGTAAAGATTGGCTACGAATGCCCTTTGTCTCTTATACTGAAATGGGCAATTTAGTTGATAATTGAACTATTTTCAAATAAAATTTTTTAATTTTCGGTGATAGATAGTATTCCTATTTTTAACTAGCAAATACCCAGCGTGCTTCACTGCGCCTTAAAAGTATTTTTATGTTGTTTGATACTCGTATATAAATTTTTCAAATACGTGGCAACCCTCCTAAAAAATATTTTCGGCAGTAAACTTTCCTAAACCTTTCAGTTTGATACTCATATTGCATTATTCAATTTATCTTATCAATTAAATTAAATTAAAATTTACAAACAGGTGGCAGCGTTCCACAAAAGTATTTTCAACTGTAAGCCTTCTTAAACTTCTTCTTTTTAAAAGCCATATTGGAATATTTACTTTATCTTATCACTTAAACTTATTACTTTATCTGAAATTTTAAAACAGGTGGCAACATACTATTTTTTTCTTTCTATATTTTAAGTTAGACCTTTAGAAATGCATCGGTGACAACTGCATTCAATTCCATGCATTAGCTTTCGAGTGATGCGCGTACAAACATACACACAGAAAGACAGAAAATAATTCAAAAAGTTTTTGATTTGGCTTCTGTTGTTCAAATAAAAACCCCAAATACATAGTTATTAATTTTTCTTTAATATCTATTATGTACAGACATCGGCCTGTTACAATTTTATTATTAGACTGCGGATTTTTATGCAGAAAACGACGCCTAACAACATGTATCACTTAACTGTAAGCCAAATAAATAAATTTGTATACATTTTGCTCATAGTTATGGGGTACATATTTTTAGGCTTGGTTTTCTGCATAAAAATCCGCAGTCTATTTATTATACATATATGTGTAGATTACATTCATTACAAACCACTTCTGAGTTGACTTCATCAAGGCGCCAGTTCATTGCCAAAAGTTCCTGGAAATATTACTTTTTGTAATATAAGTGCAATACTGTCTAAGTGGCATTTGTGCCAAAAACCGATGCGATATGCGATATCTACCGACGCGATAACGTGAATAAGCAAAAGCCCTTAAACTACGATATGACACGAATACGATGCAGGTTTGCAAAATGAGTTGTTTATCATGGTTGAACCTCTCTCGTTGTGTAGCAGGCTTTCGTAGGTGACAAAAAATCAAAAATCTGCAACCCTAAATGGAAAAGACATTCATATCGTGCGATCAATTGTGCTCGCTGTGATACAATTTTTGAACGTGTCGTATCGCAACGGTATACCTCATCTGTTTGAGCGCTCCCATTTTCAAAAGGGGTATTCACCAAATTGAGAAATTGATCTGGCACTCGGGCAAAAGAGCTGATTAGCTCAGACAATGACTGTTGATAACAGATCTTTTGCCAGAGTGCCAGATCAATTGCTCAACTTGGTGAATACCCCTAATGGATTTATTGATCGCATATCGTAAATTTT